TTAACCCACAGCACCACACCAGGATTCCAAATATATATATAAAACCTAACTCATGACAAATCATTCTTTTTTCCCAAGTGCAATTCAGTGATATTGATTGCTTTCTTCGTGGAGTACAGCCACCACATGTAACTGTTAACTAGATTTCCCATCACCATGAATGGGCACTCAATGCTTCCTACACAATGATCCCCTCAGCCCTCTCCCTTGTGCAGAGCGTGCCATTCTTAGGATTCCTACCTGGTTGCCTTGGAGTTCAGGGTCAGCTACAGTGTGACAATCCATTGTCCTGCTTTGTTTCTGTGCACTTTGATCCCAGCCAAGTCTACCCTCTATTACAGATGAGCCAATTGAGGCTTAACACCGCCCAGGAAGCAGGTGAGCTCAGATTTCAAAATCAAGCCTGTCTGATTCTCAAACCAGAGCTTTCCACAGCTTTGAGAGCTAGTACAAGGAGCTCTGGTGGAGCAGCAAATTAAGTATTGGATTGCTAACTGAAATGTCAGCAGTTTGAATACTCCAGCTGCTCTGCGGGAGAAAGATGAGGCTCTGCTTCCATAAAGACGTACAGCCTCCAGAACCTTATGAGCAGCTTGACTTTGTTTGATAAACTTTCTGTGGTTGCTTAGGACTCAACGGCAACAGATTTGGGGAGCTAAGACTGCAGACCCTAGACATGGAACTTCCCAGGTTCCTTCCCTGAGCTTTCAAGGCATGCCTGGTGGAAGTTGGAATGAAACTCTAAGCATATTGAGATGTTGAATCAAAAGAAGTGGCTTCAAATCAGCCCAGTCTCCCATAGTATAGATAGGAAGACTGAAGCTTAGAATCAGGAAAGGTGTGCGTCATGGTTGTATTCTTTCACCATACTTACTCAATTCAATCTGCATGCTGAGCAAATAATCCAAGAAACTGGATTATATGAAGAAGAATGTGGCATTGGGATTGGAGGAGGACTATCAATAACCTGCAATATGCAGATGACACAACCTGGTTTGCTGAAAGTGAGGAGGACTTAAAATACTTACCGATGAAGATCAAAGACTTCAGTGTGGATTGTACTTCACCATAAAACAAAAATCCTCACAGCTGAACCAAAAAGCAACCTCATGATAAAAAGATAAAAATAGTGAAATTTCCCAGGATTTCCTTTTATTTGTGTCTAAAATCAACACCCACAGAAGCAGCAGTCAAAAAATCAAATGGTAGACTTCCAGCAAGATGGCAGACTAGGCAGACGCAAGACGCAGACAGACGCTTAACAACAAACATAAATGAGACCAATGAAACAGACACTGATGGAAATCCTGGAACCCTGAACTGCAGAGGAAAGCTTAGAGAAGTGGATTGAGAGCTTACTGGAAGGAAAAGCTGAGCAGAGATGGTAAGGGAGGGAGATTCTGGTGAATGGATGGTCAGACATGACTAGACCACTTTGAGCTTTTGTGAGGAGCTTAGGCAGACCTGAGTGGTGGCCTGGCAGAGCAGACTCACCCAGGTCCCAGGAAATGTGACCAGTTCTTACCCTCATCCACCCCCAGCACAGACCTGTATCTTCAGGAGGCTGATGGTGCCATTTGGTGCCTGGATAAAGGCAGGCTTGGCTCGATACCTACAGAACCCACCGAACCATCAGATTAGCATTGTTGTTGTTGTTAGGTGCCATTGAGTCAGTACTGACTCATAGTGGCCCTATGCACAACAGAACGAAACACTGCCCAGTCCTGAGCCAAGCTCACAATCATTGCTACGCTTGAGCCCATCGCTGCTGCCACTGGACCAATCCATCTCATTGGGGAGTTTTCTCCTTTTTTTCTGACCACTTTAACAAGAATGATGTCCTTCTCCAGGGACTAGTCCCTCCTGATATGTCTGAAACATGAGACACAAAGTCTGGCCATCCTGGTTTCTAAGATTCATCCTGACTGTATTCTTCCAACACAGATTGGTTTGTTCTTTTGGCAGTTCATGATACGTTTAATATTCTCTCCAACACCATAACTCAAATGCATCAATTCTTCTATGGTCTTCCTTATTCACTGTTCAGATTTCACATATGAGGTTATTGAAAATACCATGGCTTGGCTCTGGTGCACCTTAGTCCTCAAGCTGACATCTTTGCTCTTGAACACTTTAAAGAGGTCTCGTGCAACAAAAATCCTCACCACTGGACCAATAAACAACATTCTTATCAATGGAGAAAAGATTGAAGTTGTCAAGGACTTCATTTTTCTTGGATCAAC